GGGGAATAACATTTGCGTTTTCTTTGTTAGAAGAAGAAACAGGCAAATGTTTTCTTTGTTAGAAGAAGAAACAGGGGGGGGATTACATTAAATTAATACAACAATCATATGTTGCCCCATAGGGACCAACGTATATATATTAAAACGCTTGAGAACAAGCAATGATGGAGAAAGGGAAAAAAAACAAATTATAATAACAAAACAATTTTTATGCTCTTAACAGACACATGCCTGTACTCCAGTGTAGAATGTGGAATGGAAAAAGCCAAAAGATAAAAAGATTATTTGTTGCGTGTTACTTTTCCCTGTTATTACAAACTCTCTTTATTTCCTTCATCACAGTCTATAATTGGAAAAATTACTGGATGGAGCAAGCAAGAAAGCAATATCGTCACTGCTTAATTAGATTCCTAATAGCATAAGGAAGAATACCTCCATGATTGAAGTAAGCCAATTCCACCTGCAAATGCAATTAAATTATATCATAAATCACTAACCCAATTAAGAAAACATTGGGATAAAACAAATAAAAGGCCACACAAGGAGAACATAGGCCTAACTTTACACATGTCTCACTTTTGTAGAACATAAATCACAAAATAAACAAGTAAATAAATAAATGGAAGAAGTACCTCAGTATCAAAGCGCACTGTACACGTGAAGGATTTCCCGTTGTCGGTTGTGACGGTCACGTCTTGGCCAGGCCTTATGTCACTAATATTGCTTGGGAGGTCAATGGTATAACGTTCATGACCAGTCAATCCCAAAGTCTCTGCATCCTCACCAGCCTTGAAGCAAAGAGGAATGATACCCATTCCTACTAAATTACTGCGATGGATTCTCTCAAAACTCTTGGTAATCACGGCTTTGACTCCCTGTCACATATCACATACCAAAGTTACGTGAGCAATTGAGGTGTAAGTTTGAGCCGCCCGACCCGGCCTGGGCCCCGGGAATTTCGGGCTGTGCCGGCCCTAAAAGAGAGGACCAAAAAAGTTTAGGCCCGGCCCAAAATTTTATAGGTATTTTTTGAAAAAAATGTTTGAAAACATGATGTTTGGGCCGGGCCAGCCCTAAATGAGAGAAGATCAGCCCAGCCGGGCCCTAAGCCCAAAATATTAAGGGCCGGATTGAGCCCGGGCCAATAGTAGCAGACCTCGGTAACTTGCAGCTCTATGAGCAGATAACAAGACATGAATACTGCTCGTAAGGAAGCAAAACAAGGATAGAAGATGGAGAACCATGTGGAAACTTATGGACTTGTTCTAGAGGCTACTAAAACAACTCACCAATAGCATTGGACCCTTGGCAGCCCAATCCCTGGAACTTCCACTACCGTACTCAGCTCCAGCCAATATAATGGTATCATGCCCGGCAGATTTGTATCTCTAAAAAAGAAAATGGATCAAGAAACATAAAGTGAATATCCACAGACCATTACAGCATCAAAGGACATTGTGACAACAGGCACAGATAAAGCAGAAAAACTCAAGTTTTCTGATCTTGTGAATGTATCATGTTTTTGCATATAGAAGATTTTCTCACAAGAAAATGTCAATATATTATTCCCAGCTACAAAATAATATACGAAAAATCGTCTAATATGCATGGTAAAAGATGATATCCACATGAAAGAGATTTTATTCTAATTGGTAAGTAAAAAACTCACAATCTAGAAAAATAATCCAGCAAATCAAATCTCCATTAGCATGCACGCGAAGAAAAGAAAAGAGCAAACCAATTTATATTGCAGAAAAATAAAATTAACCCCAGGTCCCCCATGTAAACTTTGGAAAGGGAAATAAATAAATCAAAAGCATTGAAGAAAAATTGGTTTAGAAAAAGAAGACACAAGTCACCTACCGTTGCAGCATCAAAAACATAAAGCTTCTCTCCTGTTGGAATGTGAACTGTTTTTGGACCCACTTCCCCGTTCAAAAGCTTGTTAACAAGACGGATATTGGCAAAGGTTCCCCTTGCCATCACCTCATCGTTTCCACGGCGACTTCCATAAGAATTAAAGTCTTTGCGATCCACACCACGCTCAAGAAGATATTTCGCAGCAGGACTGTCCTTGTGGATGCTTCCAGCTGGAGAAATATGATCTGTTGTAATACTGTCACCAAAGTTCAGCAGACAGTAGGCATCTTTCACTCCATGGGCACCGGGAGGATTCATTGTCATATTTTTAAAGTATGGGGGCTCATGAATGTAGGTTGAATTAGGGTCCCAAGAGTAGAGGGTGGAAGCAGGAACTGACAGCTGGTTCCACATAGAGTTGCCTTTTGTAATAGCTTCATATGTGCTTTTGAACATAGCAGGCAACACACTGGCTTGGACAACCTGAAAAGCATGCCATCCATGTTCATTATGTCATACATGGTAGAAACAGTTTAAATCCCATGAATGCAAATTTTCACTTACCTCTGCAATTTCTTCTGTAGTTGGCCAGATGTCCTTGAAGTAGACATCCTTACCATTCTTTCCTTTTCCAATTGGCTCCTTCTCAAAGTCAATGTCAACCTGGTGAAATAATTTCACAAGTTAGTTTATGTGTATGAAGGAAAATTAAAAACCGTGAAGTAGGTTATTACACCAAATATTCCTCCAAAATTCATCAAAATTAGGAGTTACCAAGTAGATTATTATTTATATACAGACATCATGATATGAGACCACAACCAATAAAACTAATGCCAAAATACCCTACCGAGCCAGCAAGGGCATAGGCCACCACTAAAGGAGGCGAGGCAAGGTAGTTGGCCCTTGTCAAGGGATGAACACGACCCTCAAAGTTCCTATTCCCAGACAGCACAGCAGCCGCAACAATGTCTGCATAAACAGAGTTTTTTTTTTTAAGGGTTAAATAATAAATTGAAACACGAATTTCGGCAGTGAAGGAGAAACTATGCCTAAATTAGGTAACATAAGTATTTTAGAAACTCAACAATCAGTAAAGTTAGAAGAATACCATTTTCCGTGATAGCAGAGCCAACTGATTCATCTAATTCCCCTGAATTTCCTATGCATGTTGTGCATCCATATCCAACAATATTGAAGCCTTGTTCATTCAAATATTTCTGCAGGCCGCTGCATCAAGCAAATTAAATTTAAAAGACATTCTTTTCGTTGTGTTAATAAAAAAGTTGGTTATTGCTACATAAAAATTACCTCTGCAGTAAATATTTTGTAACAACTCCAGAGCCTGGGGCAAGACTTGTTTTTACCCAAGGTTTAACCTGGTAGGCATTCATGAATCATCATTTGATAAATCTAGAGAGATCTAGGCTTAAAATCTCTTTTAAGGCTAAAAGAACGTCAAGTTAACAGTGTGAATATAGACGCTGAGACAAATGTTAACAAGTAATAAGGGCTTTGATAGCACAAGTAATAACTGATTCCTACCTGTAAACCAAGTTCACAAGCCTTTTTAGCAACAAGAGCAGCCCCAAGCATAACACTTGGGTTTGACGTATTGGTGCAACTTGTAATTGCAGCAATCACAATGCTCCCATGTTTAAGTTCCGCTGGTTGTCCGTGGAATGAAAACTTGGCTACTTTGTCTTGTGCTTCTTTTGGTACAGCAAATCCCTGCAACGAGTCAGAAATATAGTGAAGAAAAGACATCATTTTAATTGAGATGCAAAGATTATTACAACCACAAAAACAGAAATAAGATCCGCTTCAACATCTTTCAAGGTTCTCTTTAAAAGGCAATCTAGAGAATTCTTCCCTAAGCCCAGCCTATCTGTATAAGATTCACAAGTCTAGATAAACTGATACTAGGGACTGGAGGACAAAGATTATAAGACCATCTCTAATGCAAATGCTAATCTTTTTGCATATAGGAAACCTCTAATACAAATACTAATACCAATTGTATATTTAGCATCAATAAGGATGATATGGTGTGTTATTTTCATTTTTGCTCTAATGCATAATGCTATTTGAAATGCTAAATCTATTTTTTTCCCATAATTATTAAGCTTTGAAATTTGTAAAAGTAAACTTTTATTTTTAAACTAATGAGAAAATGCAAAAGTTGCAATGATTACATGAAAATGTAAATATCTCAACCAATAGCAATCAAATGCTAAATTTCCCATATTCTATACTTGGTGGGAAATTTGCCACAAAGTATAGCATATGGGAAATTTGGCACAACAAATAGCATTGAATTGGAGTGTTTTTTTTCACTCAAATGCTAAATTTACAATTGGCACATCAATTATAGCATTGCATTGGAGAAGCTCTAACACTGTACTAACATACAATGCATAATAACTGCAAAGTGCAACACTTGGAAGATATTCAATGCACCATAAGGTTTACACTTTACAACTCACCTTGAACCCAACCTTGTTATCAAGACACGCATGCCAATCAACTTTCATTTCCTTTAAAGCCACACGATCATGAGGTCTGTTACGGATACAAAAATGAGGATTTTGCATTGAAGAATCCAAACTTGAAAGCAGTACTGTCAAAATATGGATCACGCAACACAGTAAGGCAAAGAACAACAAACCTCTTTGGTCCTGAAACACAGGGTTTGACATCCGCAAGATCCAATTGCAGGTAAGATGAGTACACTCTTAAAAAAAACTTTCTTGTTGAGGCTAAAGATATGTAATATTAGTCAATAGTGGCATGACATGCAACAGAATAATAATTACAATAAGAAAATAAAAAGAACATTTCCATCAAATTTCAAAAACGAGAAATGCAATGAAGTGGTCAACAAAAACTGGAAAAACAAATAAAAATAAAACACACGCACACCATTACCTCACTATAGTCAACAAACATCTTGTTTGCCCTCAGGTAAGCTTCAATCATTGCCACCTAAAATAGTTGAAAGTAAATCATGTTTTGTTGTTGATTGAAGAGTAAAGATCGCATTGAAACATGTATAATATGCTATGGTAAAAATACTCACAGTTTCGTCACTTCTACCAGTCAATTTGAGATACTGTAAAGTAACGTGATCCACAGGGAAGAACCCCATAGTTGCACCATACTCAGGAGACATATTGGCAATGGTGGCTCTGTCAGCTAATGATAGTTCGCCCATACCATCCCCTACAAGAAAATATGATGATGAAAACATTATATCCGGTCAACAAGGGGGACAGCAACAAAAATTTACACAATGAATCCCATGCGATTAAATTACCATAAAATTCAACAAATTTGCCAACAACTCCATGCTTCCTCAGCATTTGTGTTACAGTTAAAACCAAGTCAGTAGCAGTAACTCCATTGCACAATTTACCAGACAACTTGAAGCCAACAACACCCGGCAACACCATGCTCATGGGCTGTCAATCAAAGCGCGTAGAATTAAAACCAAAAGAATTTTTTTTTCACAAAAATGAGACCTTGCAGTAAGAGCAAAAAGATTACCATGAATATACTAGCTTTATGAATTTGAATACCTATTACACTCCATAAATGATATTTTATCACTTTATTACCTGACCAAGCATTGCAGCCTCTGCTTCAATACCTCCAACTCCCCAGCCAGCAACTCCCAACCCATCAATCATGGTTGTATGGGAGTCAGTTCCAACCACACTATCTGGGTAGAGCAGCCCCTCAGTGTTGAAGACGACACGCCCAAGATATTCAAGGTTAACCTGAAATAAAACAAGTTAAGTCTGTGTCCAAATCCATAAAACATTAATCACCTATAGAGGTTCAAAAAAATTAATTTTGTTTCACTTAACTGCAAAAAGAAAATATCCAAGTATAGAAAACGGAGAGGGTGAAAAAACAAGTAGACATTTGCTAGATTCCTATCAACGGACAATGGATCTGCTTCCAAGCTCATTTACCTGATGCACGATACCAGAACCAGGTGGAACAACAAGCATATTATGGAAAGCCTTCGAGCCCCACTTAAGAAAAGCAAATCTCTCCTTGTTTCTTTGGAACTCAAGCTCCATATTAGCTTGTACTGCATTTTCTGTTCTTGCCACATCAACTTGCACTGAATGATCAATAACAAGATCAACAGGAACCTGAATATATAATATCATATGAGAAACAATAGAGTAAGACATATGAAGAAATATGCTAGTCAAAATGATCGAGGAAGGATAACATAAGAATGTTGCAATACAGATTATTGCAAAAATTTAACAATTATAATGACTTCATGTGTGGCAGCGGCAGCCCCAACAAATTACAAACAAATGGTGGAAATAGAATGACCGTAAACAAATATACTAGTAATTTTCATGATGATAATCATACTAAAGTAAGATGTAACACAATAGACTCAAGAAATGTTCAACATATCGATGCATTTGATGATTTTCAAGAAATTTTAAAATCTGAAATCAATAATCTCAAAATAACATTAAAATCTCAAGGTGCAAGTTAACGTATAGAAAAAAAGGGTTAACATAGAATGTGACTGCAGATAATAAAACAAAACCAATACCAAGGGGTTGATCTTGTTAGAATCACTGCCAAGCTTGTTCATGGCATCACGCATACAAGCAAGGTCGACCACAGCTGGTACTCCAGTAAAATCCTGGAGAAATAGGAGCAGCATTAGGAAAAGAAGACAATAGGCATATTGTTCAATGAAATAACTGAGCACGGAAAATTGTGAAAAATATAGCAAAATAAAGGGGCATGTTGAATGTCTAGATACCTGCAAGAGGACACGAGCAGGCTTAAAGGGAATTTCAACTTGCTTAGGTGCAGTATTTTCCCAGTCAATGATCTTCTCAACATCTTCCTTCTTGACTTGGAAATTGTCACAGTTCCGAATAGCAGATTCAATAAGGATACGAATAGAATAGGGCAATCTATCTGTTTTCCGCATATTAAATAACTGTTATCAATCATATGACGAAAAAAAACCTATTTAGAACTCCAATTTCACAGTTAAACGACTATTACCGATCCTAGGGTCATTCAAAGAAGGCAGACTGTAGAACTTTCCGAATTCACCGCCCCCAGGCTTTGGAAGACTGGTCAGGTTTCCCTTGAAAGGATTTTCAGCAGCTGAAACGGCAAAATGGCATTTTTCTTTTAGTATTCAAAAATCTTAGCAAAGAGAAAGAAAGCAACGTCAGCTTATCATAAGGAAATCAACATCATCTTATCATATTTTCAAATGATTTTAGCACTATCATCAACGTTCAATTACAGCTATAGCCTTTAATATATCTCCGGAAAAGCTGCACACAAAAAAGAACGAAACTTTTTCGCCAGAATTCATCTCCGTTTCAGTTATTCGTATCTAAAAACACCAAAGCGTATTAAAACAAAACAAAAACATTTTCCAATATTTTTCCCACCATTTTCTCAGCAACCAAACAAAGCATACAACCATCAGTCTAATCTAGACAAAATAAAAAAAGGACGCGAAAAACTCAGAACACGCGAAATACAGATTCTCCAATCATCACCATATCCAATCTCAAAAAAAAAAAAAAAAAGACCGGTCAACTACAGCGGAACTCGATCTCCGAGATTTAAGGAAAAAGCGATTCCGTACCCATGGAAGCGATCTTGCGTTGGAACTGTTGGATCACAGGAGCGACTGCCCTGATCTGAGAGCGGAGGGTGTAGGGGGAGTTCCAGTGGACGCCGTGGCTCCAGCGAGGGACGGAGCGAACCGCGGAGGAGAGGGATCGGTAGGCGGCGACGGAGGAGGAGGAGAAGGAGGACGGCGAGTAAGGCTTGGGAAGCGAGCGGGCGAAGGGTCGGGAGAGGGAGGAGGAGAAGAGTCTGGAAGCCCTAGAAGCTCTGAGGAGCGAAGAGGCAGAGGAATAGGAGGCCGTTATATACATGACGACGATCACGCATTCACATGAAAATACGGCAGAAATGAGATAAGGATTTTGATGATGATGATTGAGATTGAAAACAAAGGAGTAATGGAGGAGCTGAGCAACGGTTTTATGACTGTTTCTGCAAGTGTATGTATAAGAATGGGGGCGTGTGGTGTTGTGAGTTGTGAGGAGAAAAGAAATGGGTCTAGGGCTGCGTGCCGTGATTTTTCTTCTTTTTTTTTTTCTAGAAGCTGAGGCTGGAATGGAAAGGAGAGTCTTCTCCGAAAAATTGGAGGGGTTTGATCCTCTGCGGTGTGATGTTGGGGCTCCAAGTTGGGTTTTTACCGATGCAAATCCTCCCGAATTAATGTCCTTTATATTTATTTAAAGAATTAATTATCATATATGTATTTGATTAAAGAATTTAGGAATTAGGAGAGTGTAAAAAAAGTTATCATACCTATCTTCGCCTGACATATTCTAATAGGAGTTGATTGTTCATAACACAATGGTAAGATATTTTTTATAGGCTGAAACAAAATTTTTCTTTTTATTTATTTATTCAATTCGTTAGTTTCCTAATATTTTAACAAAATGAAGTGATAAAAAGGCAAAAAAAAAAACTACAACAATACGTTGGAAAGGAACTTGTGAATAATAGGATTTCACATCATTTTATATTATTCTTTTAACTAGAATACAACTTTTACTACTCTTTTAACTTTTTATTATGATGAAAATATTTAGAGTTCGATTGTGAATCGCAGGTTCGAATCATGTGTTTTGAACTTTTTTATTAAAAGTATAAAGTTTTGAAAAGTGGTTTAAATTTATGGTTCGAATTAGCATTTATACATTTAAGTTGTGATTTAAACAGATAATAAATAGAAAGAGAAAAACAAAATACCAATAAAAAAGTAATGAAAACTTCACAAAATAATGATTAACGAAAAATAGAATGAGAAAATACAAAAAGAAAAAATAGAGGAAAGAAAATTAACATTAAAAAAAAATTTGGTTCAAACCCATTGAAAAGATAGGGTGTTGGCTTTAGAAATTCCATAATCCATATATTCATGAAGCAAATGAAAATATGTTGAAAATGAGCGGAGTGAATTTACTAATTAATAAAAAAAATTATTGATGGATTTTCATATAAAGGGACGCGTGATAATTACAGCATCGTTCATTTACCGATTCGAGTTTTCAGTTTTAAATTTTTACAGTAAAAATCTCTAAAAAATATCACATTTAACTTTTTCTGCTACAGCAAAAAGTTTTTAAAAAATATCACATCTCAACTCAAATTAAAAACTCAAATTTATAAAATGAACGAGGCCGACATTGAACGTGATTATTATAATTTTTATGCTTAGAGCAACAGAAGGGGCCTTTTTTACAACTATCTTCATCATAAAGGTCCAAACTCTGTTTAAAATGTCACAGTGACGATGTGCACTGCTACAAGTGGCGGAAATACATCGTCAAGGAGTTGCATTGTAAAGCTCATAAACCTGCGTGTAGGAGATAACTGGTCGGCAAGTTTTGGAAGTTTCGCAAGCGGCGCGGTCCGAGTGGCACGTATTTCTGCTTCCTTCTTCCTTTGAATAGTTGAACAAAATCCGGTGCATAGTGACGATGTGCACTGCTACAAGTGGCGGAAATCCGATGGATGATTCGAGTTGCTACGGCCTCGTTCGTTTCGCTGATTCGAATTTAGAATTCGAGTTGAAATGTGATTTTATATAATAATTTTTTACTTAATAAAAAAATTAAATGTGATTATTTATGAGAGCTTTTTACTGTAATAAAATTTAAATTTTAAACTTAAATCAGTGAAACGATGGGTGTATTACAGGATATATAAATGAAGCTTTTGACAAAACAAAGCTCAAAATATGTTTACAATTTAAATTTATGGTTCCGTTCGGTGGACAATTTACTGCAGGAGCTATGACGATTTGCCATTCCCAATCCATAATCCCATTAAAAGAACATGCCCAGCCGGGCCACTTGATGTGGGCCCGTCAACGTTTACGATTCCCTCTTTTTGCCCAACTTTTGTCTTTATATTACTTCATTAATTTTTGGGGGTATAATTTAAAAAAAAATGTCGAAAGAATAATTTATTTATATTTTTGTTGAATAAATAAGGTCCGGATTTACTCAGAAAAACAAAATTCTCTTTCACTACGATTTACTTTTCGGTTGTATTTATGATAAAATATGCATTTTTATTTCACTGGTGTAAAATGTTAATAAAAACCGTCATATGAAAATCTCATGGTAAACAAATATGTTTAAGTATTCACTTTTTAACTCTTAATATAAGATATAAATAAATAAAAAAACAAAAACCTTAACTATAAAAAAAATAAAAATAAAAATAAAAACAAAATAAAGATATTTATTCGCAAAGAAGAAAAACACACACCCCGGTCCGGCGGTCCCCACTTGCCAAAAATTCGGAATAGCTGTTTTAAACAGAGCTCATTTGGAGGCAAACACCTTTTTCTCTGTGGTATGAACGAAAAGCCATTATAGGTTAGTTCAAAAAAAAAAAAAAAAAAAAAAAAACAGAGCCAATAGAACAGTTTAATTAAAATACAAAGATCACTAAAAAGATATTTTTATTTTTTTTTAAAAAGTCAACTTTTTTTAACAATGAATAATAATGTCTCGCTGAGTTGATCGATTCGAATTTTTAATTTGAGTTGAAATATAACTTTATCTAAGAGTTTTTAACTATAGTAAAAAATATAACAAAAAATTTAGATGTGATTGTTTTTTAACTGTTACAAAATCATAATTAAAAATTTAAATCGGTGAAATGAACGAAATTAAGCGTATTTATTATATGAACACCTTTGACGATTGTGACAATACTGTTTTTTTTTCCCCTTTTTAATATGATAAAACGACTAGGGATTGTTAGCAAAGGTATGTCCCACTCCCATTATTATTTTGTGAATACCGCTCCTATTAAAGTTGCAAAAATATGTATATTTGTTTGAAGATTTTAGGTTTCTTAGCCTGCGATATTTCAATTTGATACACTTTCTATCTATTATTTTTTAAATATCGATATCAATAATTGATCATCAATGTTAAGAGTATGAGTATGTAGTCGACTGAAAAACATATAACATCAAGCGTTTTTTTTTTTTTTTGTTTCTTTATGAATAGTTTTTTTTATTTTATTGCATCGTCAAAGTAAAATATATATATATATATCTATATATATATTGACGTAGTCAGAAGTTGGCTTATGTGATGAAATGCGTGACATGGTGTAATAGTCTTCTTTTGAAAGAAAAAAAACATCATCCTTTTTATGAAAATTTCTACAATACCGCTACTATTTACGCTAGCAATAACGCACAATTGGACGGGTGTAATTATTGCGATTATTAATGAGTCTCAATTGTTAGGGGGAAGACGACGTAAAGGGCTACAATAGAGTATAAGCCACAAGCCAGCAGCGTCTATTCTAGCAAAACGGTGTCAATATATTAAGGGTAGGTCTAGTGATTTTTAAAGTTAAAAATTAATTTTTTAGTCAATTGAAATTTATGTTTGATAAAAATTATAAAAAATAATTCTTAAAAAAATTTATAAAAATTTCCGGTCAAAATTAAAAACAGTTTAAATACAACTTTAACTTTTAAATTGTGTAAAAATCATCTTAAAATATAATTAATAAAATTTTCACAGTACTTATAATATTTCTATAATCAATATTTATATAATTACAATTTATCAAATGCTGAACTGTTTTTTATAACAATTATTTTTTTAACACAATTAATAATAATTTTTTAAAAATTTACAGCACTACTAAACTTGCTTGATCTCCAACAACGCATGTCTGTGCAAACAGGTCATGTTACTTGAACAGGTTATTTGAGATGAGCTGCAATTTTTTTTTTTTTAAATTAAGATCAGCAGCAGTGGTGGCTCATACTTGTGCGTAACCTCCCTTGCTATGATTTGGCCACACCCATTAAAATGGAATTGACAGATAAGTAATTTATATAGACTAATTAAAGAATCATCAATTCTTGGTTATTTTTAAGTTTACAAAAAAAAAGATTGTTCTAAAGGTCAGTTATTTAACATTAATTGCACTAAATAGCACTTCTTTTTAAAAATGAAGTAAATAACATATTGCTTTTAAAACATTTTAAAATTCCAAGATGCGCTCATCATCATCTTCAACTGTTTCACCTTCTCCACAACTATTCTCTCTTTCTTTCTCTCACGACGCTCATGATGAAGTGAACAATGGAGGCATAACGGCGTCAACGGCGGAATAAATTTGGGCTTGCCGTGGTTTTTAAGGAGGGAGCAGATCGACGAGATCAGGTTCAGCGAACACTGGCGATTCTTAATGTTCGTTTCAGCAATGACTTGTTGTGTTGGACGGTACGGTGGAAGTGAAAGACGCTTCAAGGGCAGAGGAGGGATCCAAAGCCCCTTAGGCCTTAATTAAGGCCCACTTCTAGAATGTTGAAATGGAGAAGACGTTTGGTTCATGGATTAAAATTATGTGATTAAAATTATTTTTAATTTATATGTATTTTTTGTGAGAGAAAATACTGTAACAAACCATTATTCAAATCATGGTTTGAATCCTTCAACCAAACGTCCCCGAAAATAGCCTAATTTCTTGGCATTATAGATTACAAATTTAAGAAAAATCATTTTTCTTTTTGCAGATTTATAAGTAATAAATCCTCTAAATATGTATTTAAACCTATTCTTTTTTGGAGACATCAAACGTTAAATGAGGATTATTGTCAGCCCCAAAATTGTTTTTAAAATCAAATAACTCTTTTTGTTTTTCATCTCTTTTAATATCAAAATGCTTATTTCTTATCCATTATTAATTAGACTTGATTTTTACAATAATTATTTTTGTTTGTTGTTAGTGTAATATGTTCAATTGACCTAATTGAATTCTTCTAAATATTTTAATTGACTTTTAATAAAAGTTAAAGATATTTATATTATTTTAATTTTTGAAAAGGTCCCCTGAAAATTTTTACTTAGGGCTTGTCATTTGCATCTAAACTCAAAAAAAGTTTAAATTCAGTTACAATTTTATTTAAGTTCACGTTCTTTTATAAAATTTGAGTTTGAACTTGAATTTTAACTTGAGAGACTAGAATCTGAGTTAAAGTTTCTCTTTCAACTCAAAATGCTAAACTCAAACTCAAGTTAATAAAAAGTATTTTTTCTATTCTTAAAAACGTCATAACTTCTTTGTTTTAATTCCGATTGAGATTATTTTTTTCTATACATTCATAATGAAGA